CGAGAACAAATGAGGAAAGATAGATGCAGCTGCTGACACCAACAAAAATCTTTTCAATGTATGCAAATGCAAATATGTATATGCATATTATCTCACCATACATTAATATTTGAACAAAACAAAATTCAAATTACAATAACAAAAGGAGAAAATAAAGAAAAATCCAGATGCACTCTAAACTGAAACAAAATTGTCTGGGGACGAAAAGCTCAATCAATCAAAAAGCAATCAATTAGAAATCAGAAATCCAACCATTGGAGTCATTTTAGGCATCAACTTACCATAACTAAATTCGCGAGAAATTCGATCTCCTGCTCTTCAACTCATTAAGACAATGACCCGACCTTGCCTTGACTAGCTGAGTCAGATCAGATCCTCAGGAATTTCAATATCCACCACAACCTTTTCTCCTCCGATTATGCAAATTAATTAAAAATACCTTTTTCCTTTCTCTATCTAACAAATCCACCTTACGAACACTTATTCGAATACAATATCTATGAAAATACGTGTATGTATACAAGTATGTGTAGATGAAATGGTATGGAGTTGCTTTTGTTTGTTTCTCTCTCTAAAACCTGCTGGTCTGTGCTGTATTGTGATACAAATATTCTTATGCTTTCTCTCTCTAAAACTTCATTCGTCTGGTCAGCTAGTTGTTGAGTCCCACACACGAATGCAGAAGAAAGGCACCCAATACTAAAACCGACATTAGACTAATTAAGCCGGGTTTTTTTGGTCGGTATGTTTGGGTTCGAAATTGATTTTATTTACATGATTGACACTTGGTAGATCATTTTTTCTATTTTTGAAGTAACAAGAAAGTCTTGAAATTTTTACCACCTTATTTTGTGGGTTGTGAAGTTAAAATTTGCAAAACCGAGAGATCGTGATCGTATTTTAACTAACGTGTTTGGTTGTGACGAGTAATGCAACACATTTCATTCTTTTATATCACTGATGGAGATTGATATAATGAGTAGCTAAGTTGTACTTGTTTTTATCGATTGCGTCTATAACTAAATTATTATTAGAATTAATGATAATTATTCTCTTTAATTACTTAATTATGAAAATTAATTATTCCATCTTTAATTTCTCAATGTACTTTCCCAATTCAGTAAAATTCAAATTTGTGGGGGCAAAATTCAAAAAATTCGAATCCAACACGTGAGCGAACAAAGAATAAAATTAATGATTGTAGGGGTAATCGTGTAAATTTATAAAAAATGGAGTGAATTCTCGGGTGCGGTTTACAGTATTTTAGGGGGATTACAATCGGATGTCCGCCACCGTTTGCTGGCGTATTAATACATTACCTATATTGTTGGAAGACAAACCGCACTCTGTCCCGTTAGCTGTAAAATTGTGTTTTCACTTTTTCTATTTTTGGTATTTTTCTAAAAACTATTGTTAGAACAGGGCATCTTCGGTAAAGATTAAAATCGAATTAAAATCGAAATACTAATCGTTATTGTTGACTTTTATTAGACGAATGAGACTCAATAACGACTATATTTTCAATTTTAATTGGATTTTAAGCCTTACCGAAATGCTTTTACAGTTATTGGTCACAATTGAACATACACTTCATGTTATTCTAAAACATTTTATAAATATTGTAAAAACAATATTTAAAGATTTGTGAATATAAAAAATTGTTAATAAAAATTGTTTATGTGGAATGAACTTTTTATTTAATGAGAATCTCTTTATACATTTTATTTTCTTTGTGGCTAAGGGTATCTGACTTAATTAAAACCTTTGTAATTATCGTAGAAATTCCTTTTAAAAGCAACGTATAACTATTCATGCGAGAATACATATTGTGGAAGATATATTCCGATAGAATTTTGCTACTTATACATAATGAATTACATAATATGATGTGGAGGGAAAATATTGGATGAAAAATTTGATTGTGTTTTAAACTGACAAATAATAGAGTGTCATGTAACATTATGTAATTCATTATGTAAATGTTAATGTACATGTAGGAGTAAATGAACACAAAGCTATTTCCGCATGAATTTAAATAGGTATCTTTCATCATTTGCAGGACTCAAATGACTTAGTGTGGCGTATGCCTCAAGTCATATGACTTTGGGCATTTAAGGGTGGTTTGAACCCCAATTTTTGAAAATTCATTTTTTCAAAATTCATTTTCAACCATGCATTCTCCAATAAAATAATATTACACATAAATTGAAAAAAAATTTCTTAATTTTTAACGACACATTCTCTAAAAATCACTATTCAAAATGCATTTTTTTCTCTCAAAATGGGGCTTAAACAAGGGATTAATTAAGACTTGTTGTACACACGCATTTACATAGAAAAAATTCATGAATTATCTTACCTCAAGTTTGAAGACAATGAAAAGAGAAAAAATTAAATTAATAGTTGAATATTAAGATCAATGACATTTCATTGGTGATGTAATAACAAAATAAATAGTCATTGTAGTAGACTTAGGATGAGCCTCAGTATTGTTTGAATGAGATTTGACCAAACCCTTTCGAACTACCGACACTTTGATTCCATGATGCGAATTGAAATGAAATAACGACCAATTTGTGAAAACCAATTAAATAGTTGAAAACAATCAAATACATTCATGGACATTAAATTTAATTGATTTGAATTATGAATATAGAAACATTATAATTTATATGCACGTGATCTTGAAAAATAATATAGACAAAATTGTATGTACATAAACATGAAGAATAAATTTATATTATAGATTAAATAAATAAGTGTAAATGACTTTGAATAATTTATTTACTCTTATGGTGCGTTTGTTGCGATGGTGGAAAATGGGTGGAAAGAAAATGATTTCCAGGGAAAGTAATTGCCTAGAAATTATTTTGTAGAGAATTGTTAATTAAATTTGTTTAATTTGTATAATTTTCCACCCGGAAAAAATTTGAAATTTTGGATTTTTTTCACGTTTGGCTTTATTTTACATGAAAATTATCCATTAAAATGATTTTTTTTCTTTTTACAATTGGTTATGAAATTTAACATTGCCAAAAAGTTTAAAAAAAAATTGGTGGATTGGAACTCACAAGATCATTTCTGTATATATATATTCAATGAGAATTTTTTTTTTTTTGGGTGATTAATAGTATCCGATTTGACTAAAACCTTTGTAGTTATTATAGAAATTCCTCTTACATTTCCATTTCATAGGATTAAGATTTTCCTTTTTCAATTAGTGCGCCAAATTTTTTAATTGTTATCGCTGAATAAATAACATGGCTTTAAATTTATATCCACGTAGAGAAGTCAAAATACTATGTTACGTCAAATATATAATATAATTACGAAATAAGTAGTCATTGTAACAGACGTATTACCTCCTTATCAATTATGATGAGTATCGAAATATCAAAATTTCCAACATTGTTGGAATAAGATTCGACCAAATTCTATCAAACTACTATCACTTTAATTGAACATTCATTTTCATACATCGATAAGTCATTTATAGCCTTTGATTCCATGACGCAGGAGCAACCCCAATTTGGCTAAAACCTATATGTTGATGTGTTGGGGAAAAAAGGCAAAATATTTGATGATTGAAATGAATTAACAACCAATTCGCGAAAACAATTTAAATGGTTGAAGAAGTCAATGAGAATAATCCCTACATTTACTCTTTTGATCTGAATTTAACATCCAATACATACCACCCTTTCTCCATCTTCACTATGAAAGTATTAATATTAAATATAAGTTCGAAGATTTCGAGACGAGGACTATGTTTTTTGTCTTCATCCCACCCCATTATCACATGGGATGGAGTTTTCCACACCATTTGAGCCAGGGCAACGTAAGGCAAATCGGGGAATTGAAAATTTTAGTCATCTTTAAGAATTATGTTGTCTATGCTTATTTCTTCTCAACTTTAACTTATTAGGGGAATTTCGATGGACTTTGCTTGCAATTATATTTGGCTTTTAGTTTGCGATGACAAGATATCTGGCTTATTTGAGTCCCATTTTCTAAAAGAATAAATTTTTTAATGATGATTTGTTTGAGAATGTATAATTAAAAATGAATTAATAATAAATAAAAGATTGATCAATTGAATGAGAACAATATTAAGAACGAGCAAACTAATATTTATATTATGGATAATTCTACTTGTACAACCGCGGTTAACAACCTCTCATGTGTGTGGGGTTCGTGTGTTTAAAAAATTCAACAAAAAAAAAGTGAACCCTCCCATCTGAGTGGTTGTCAACCGACGTTGTACAACTAGCATGGTCCTTATAATATTTCATCTTTTACTTCGACGAAAATAGAGTTAAAAACAAGAGTGGCGGAAGAAAGGGAGGTCGATTGCTCGGATAACATTTTAAATTTTTTTTAGAATTTTTCAATATATAACAAGTATATTATATTAAAACTCGAGTTTTTCTTTTACATACATGAACGTGTATAGTCCAATGATAAAGCCGTAAAGGCTTGCCTTGTGTTTGATTTCCAACAGTCACATTGCATGTTTTGTCTAAACAGTTCATTTCCTTTCATTTGACGCATTTCACACTCAAATCATCACGAAATGCTGTCTCCTTAGCCAGTGTACCCGCCTGGATTTCAATTTTTCTTGCTGAAATTCTACTTTTCGAAAAAAAAAAAAAGGGTTGAGGTGGGACCTGCTTTATACCTCTAACTATAAAGGAAAGTCAACTTGCATGAACAAGACTTGTAAGATGATGCACAATGTGTAACATTGACCCTTTCTTGTGACTTGAATCTTACATAGAAAGATGAGGTATATAAAGAGAAACTTTATTGTCATGTATGAAACCAATATCACTTATAGTTACTGTAAAAGACAACACTGGAGAGAGCGCTTTTCTTGTCCAATATACAGGTAAACTCATTACAAAAGATTTATATCGCAACACGTAAATGTACAATTCATGTAACTCTATGCTGAAAACCCGTAAATGTGTTAGGATCACGTGCAAGAGGCAAGACCCAAGCTAGAAAAGTAGAATTGCAATAACAATCAACACCACGACAGAGCATGCCATTGCCTGTGACAGAATGAAAGGGCCTGAGATAATTCTATTAAACTCTAAGAACACATGAGACAAATTATCCATCGTAAAGAAATCTAAATTTTTATATCAATCTAACATTCCGGTGCAGGTTTTCATATTTTATCGAGTGGAATGGAAAGAGAAACTTACTGCAATTGCAGAAGCAGCAAGTCCAGCTCGTTCCCTAGGATCCTTACGATAGTAGTTTCTTAAATACAAGAATGTAGCATAGTACCACAGTAGTGGGCACAGAAAACCCACTAAAAAACTGAAAGTGAGAGGGCATAGAAATTAGATGCGGTAAGACCTTGAAGATGCAAAATAAGATTCAGTATACGTACGAGAACCATCCTATTCCACAGCCAAAGCAAGGAAGAGGTTTGTCATAGATACCCAGCTGGGAGTCATCTCCATCTCGAATCAGAGTATACTTGCCTTTTTCATGGTCTGCCGTTTGTCCTGCGATTGATAGAGAGACTCCGAGAGTATTTAATAACAGGGTAAAATTATCATGACTTATCCATCCAAGTCATTACATCTTTGGCAAAAGAGATAGAAGTCCAGAGAAAGATGGAATTGAATCCATATGAACTTTTAAGGAGTAAGTTTTCAAGCTCAAAAATGAAAAGAAAGAAAGAAAGGATTGGTAGAAGAATAACGGGAAAAAGTTTTTAAAAAAAAAAAAAAGCTATTGAAATGCACGCACAAGAGAGCCAATGTTATTAACAGTTGAAAAAAAATAAAAGTTTCCTTATTTGCTGGGAAGATAAAAGAAATTAATAGGTTTTCTAACACTTGCCAGAAAAATGGAGAAAGCATTCAAGTTTACCCATAGAATCTCCAAAGAAGTGCAAAAAACAAAAAAGGCATGTAGCAAGCATCTTAGAATGATCTTGTAGCACAATTATAACTAGAAGAGAGTACAACGACATTAGTGTGACAAAACTTTTATGATCGATAACTGCCAATCAATTATGTATTGAATAGATTATAAATGAAATAACTACCTTTAAACATTGAATAATATCGAGCTGATGGTCTCAAAAGATCAAGATGCTTATCCGAAATTGATTTCACCAGTTCCAAGCCATTTCTGCTCTCTCCCTCCTCAATAGTAGCATCTGTAACACCAAGAAGTCCCGATTCATACACATTCAGATGCTTCTCTGTTACTTAATTTTGTTTTTAGTCACCGTTAATATTACTGGATGCCATTTCTAATAAAGAAAACTAAAGGTAGTGTTGCAATGAAAATATCCCTTTGATTCTATGCAGGATATGGGAGTGATAAGCTGATAATATACGTATTTATGTTTTGTCTAGCAAGTTTTTTATTATTTTTTCCATGGTTGTTGCAAAACTTCCATCGTGTTCTTTGCTGTCAATTAATGAGCGTGCTAAACTAACCTCGTGTAGACATATAACTTGCACAGAAGATAGTGAACGATAGAATTCTAAAAGATTAAAAATGGTAAGAAGGTTTAACACAACAGTTCTTGTTGCCTCTCTCCACATTATTTCTTGTATCTTGCACACAGATAATTAAATTATCTTAGACTAGTTTTTGCATAGAAGTTCGAAATATATTCGCTTCAAGGTGGGTTAAAAACGCTGACAACTGATTTTCAAACTCTTATGAGGTCATGCTAAATTTTACCATATGAGCTTGAATATAGTTGCTCCATTTACTGATTACTTTTACCCTGGTTGGAATTTGCTCAGATTTCATAAAGCCTTGAACAAAAGAAAATGCAGAAGATAAATAGATATAGTAGAACAATTATCTAGTAGAAATTTCTATTTGAAGTAAGAAAATGACATCCGACTTATTGGGTAATGTAACAAAACAGCAAAAGTGTAGCTAATTTTGTACTTTTATCCATTTGTACTCCTCTATCGCCGATATTCCCAGAGTGCCGAGATCTCTCTTCTACTGCAACTTCTAGTCAACCTGCTTAACAAAATATTGAACATTTCAATTTTTTGGTAATCTGTGCATAAAATTCAAGTTTAACTAAGATGGTAGCAAACTCTTGCACTTTGTCCGGTGGGGTGGACTGTATTAGACAATATTAAAGAATGAAAATAAGTTAAAAATTCGTATATTATGTGTTCCAACATGTGCTTAATGGCTAAAGGGAGAGAGAAATGCACGATGGAAGGAACCTAGGAACTAACTTCAAGTTAGCGAGACGGTCAAATCATGTTTTGCATCAAGGAGAAACAAAAGACCATTAAAATGCAAGGTGAAGGGGCTTGAGTTTCACTGGTAGAAATTTGCAGCTTCAAGGTTCAAGATGCAAATTGCTAGTTAATATATCGTTAAAAGACTCTTAACAAGATAACCATTCTACTCCTATAATATGAGAAATCATATTCAAGTATCCAAATCTTGGAAAAGAAAATTTCCCATACTATCAAGATTCAAGAATTCATAATATGAACCGACGCTTATGAGAATAACTAATATCTAATATCATTTTGAGTATCTGGTGGGTAATTTATCAATGAAATTCCTCCAACTCGACTGCAAATGTCTTTAAACTTTTATTAAATTTCTTGATCAGGTCGTTTTGTCATTTGGTCTTGATTAGGGTTCGTGTATATGTAAAACACATACGATCAATTTCCCTTTCTACCTTCATAGTCTACACCCATTAATCCATCATCTTAAAACCATCCAAATTCATACAAAACAACAAGCAAATAATAAAACCCATTAGAAAATTATGAATTATCCATCTACAGATTATATAAATTACTTCCAATATATTTTAATACGAAACCCCTTCCCCCCTTTCCACGCAAGAAAAGGGTATAATCAAATAACGGAACACGTAATTAAAAAAAACCAGACCCAAAAAATTTAGAAATGAACAAGATACATGTATAATCAAATAAAGAGTACCCAATAAATCTCAACACACTAAAAGAAATGGGTAAAGATGACTTGCCTTGAAATTTGTAACCTTTCAGATAACAATTTAAGAGAGAACCGAAAAGGAAGAAGCAGATAGAAATTGGAAAAAGTGGGGGCCAATCTCTGTGTATACGTACGCTAAACGGAACACAATTAAACGAGACGCGATAACTCTTTTTCGACGCCAAGCAGCCAACCCACCACTATAGAGGTGGGGTTGGTGGCAATTAGTGAGAAGAAAAGCTTGGTTGACTTGTCCTCATCTCTCGTAGTTTTTATTGTACAAGGAGATGATTCTGAACTGATATATGGCTTAAGAAGTTAAAGTGAATTATTAATTTTAGTAAATATGAAATTTACAAATTTAAAATTACACATTTTATTATTTTTTATCAAAATTTATTAAAAATTTAAGTTCAATCTCCGTCAAATGAGGGGCATAATTTTGTTTTCTCCGATTTTTAGTAAACTTGTCACTTTAAATAATTAATCAAAAAAATACTTATAATTTATAGTGTATTTGGGATACATTCTTTTGAAAGAATGTATTATTGAATAGTAGATTGATGGAGAGTATGTGATTAAAAATGAAGGAAAAGTTATTGATGTGATGAAAAATATTATTTTATTGAAAAATATATAATTGAAAATGAGTAGAAGAATAAGAATGAAAAAAATAATGTGTACCAAACAAGGGCTTAATTCAAAAGATGAGTTAATTTTAATAAAATATAGTTATTGGTAAGCAGGAGAATGACTCGGTTCGATATATTCCTTAAACATCTAAGTTTCGCTCGTGTGTAAAATAGGATCTCAGTTCGACACATGGGCTCGTTGGCTTCACGAGTCAAGCAGAGCATTTTATTATTTTTTAAAAAGTTACAAAATAAATCCAAAATCATGCCAAGATATGTTTTTAAAGAGATTAGTAAAGTGGGGCAAAAAAAAAAAAGAGAGAGAGCTAGCCTATAGCCCAAACGAGTTGATTCGTGAAAAAGAAGATAAAAAAAAAAAAAGTCGAACCGCCTATGGATGGAATTAAACAAACTGACAAGCAACTCAACTCATCTGGTATCCTTAATTATTGGTCAATGTAGTAGCTATAGCTGATCGGCACTAAACACCCTTATCTATTTAGTGTTGACAATAAAGACATCAAGTACACGTTATTTTCATCTCGAATAAGTTAGAGATGACGATGAGTACTCAACAAGATTGATGAGTACATTTGGATGGTGGGCGGTTTGTAATTTGCAAATGGCATTATAGGATGCTTGGTGCTTGGATTGGTTAGATTGATGATAATTAAGCTCTTATTTGAGCCACATTATTTTTCTCATTTTCATTCTTCTACTTATTTTTAAATACACATTTTTTAATAAAATAATATTTTTATCACATCAATAACTTTTTTTTCAACCACATACTCCTTATCACATCAATAGTAAAAGTGTATTCTTACTCCCAAAATGTACGTCAAACAGGTGTTCAACCATTAGACGTTTCAGCGTATTGGAGTTGATTATTATTTAGTTCATTTTTGTAGTTGTAGGATAATATCGTGAACTCGAGTACATGAGTGCAATCGGTAGACCGACTCGGACCTTACCATGTCGACCAAGTCACTAGCACAACAAATTTATACGAGCGTTTGGAGAAAATTAAAAACAGTGATAATTATTCACTCGAGAACAATCGAAATTTCAAAATTATTAGAAAAAAATCTATTGGACCGTCCTATCTAAAATTGTGTGCCAACTCCCCAATTACAATTTTACAGGCTCCAGTTTTCTCTGGAACAGCCACGTCACAATTATTCTCCTCTTTCCCTTGCCATCTTCTCAAAATCAGGTTATACAAGTTCAGCTCAAATCTGAAGATGACTGATCGATCAACGGTAGAAAATGGACAGAATGGCAACAGCAACAGCACCAATAGCAGCACCGTACTGGATATATACCCACTCAGCTGCTACTACTTCGGCTCCAAAGATGTACTCCCGTTAAGGAACGAAACCGTCACCGATCGTGTTCTGCGCATGAAAGCCAAGTAAATATTCATACATATTATCTCCGTTTTTGGTATAGAACACTGGTAGTACTGTTAGTAATCCAACTTTATTTTGGTTCAAAGTCGTCACTCAAGTTTAATTTTATTTCAATCGATTAAAATCTGTTATTTTCTGTAACAGAGTGTCCAACGTGCCAGCCAAAAATCAGATTGAGTGATGATTTTGAAGCAAAATAAATTGACTGGCAGTGTTTTTCACGCCTCCTTTTCTCTATATACGTTTAGGTATTTACGTTTAAAATCAAGGAATTTATTAATTATTACTGTCTGTGTTTTATAAAATTATTATTTGAAGTGTGTGTGATTTTTTTTTTTTGTTTCTGTCTTATTTTTAGCTATGATGCTTATGGAATGAGGACTTGTGTGGCAGCTGTAATTGTGGTCAGTTCTCTGCGCATTTTGACTGTTTATGTAACTATGTTTATATTTTCTTGTTGCTGGGAAAGGTCTAACAAATAGACTGACAACATAAATAAACGTGAAAAAATGCCAACAGAAAGGTTCTTTGTGCATTTTTATGATCTGTAGATAAACTTCGCCCTTTATGTAGACTGATAGCTTCTCCCCGTAACAAATTTAATTAGAAGTGGAAGCAAAAGGTAGTATAACGATTAAGTGTCTCTTGCAATAGAAGTGAAAAGGGGAAGGTAAAATAGGTACTATATGGAACGAGTGTCTGTCTAAAGGAAAAAAGACAAAAGACAGTAAAGGCTTCCGACGGGAGGGTTAGGGAGAGAGGAAAGCGGAGAAAAATATAATTTTTCCTGTTGTGACTTTGCCCTAGAGAGACTATTGTGAACCTCAGTTTTTTCCAAGAATCTGCCTATACCATTATTGTTGTAGTGGATAGTAAATTTGTAGTTCATTATGTGTCAAACCATGTAAATCTTGTATCTGTGATCTTGCTCAGTTTCCTTTTTTTTTTTTACATATATATTTACCTGTCTATATTCATGCTAAGAAAGGAAGATGTACATGTTTTCCAAACAAGTTGTATCACGGTGATGATTTGTTAGCCAAGTCTCTGTTATAACTTGTGCGAATGCTAATGGAGGATAATTCGAGAGCTATGATCAAACTTAAAACTATACTTACTCAGAAAATATCACTTCATGTGTCATATTTCTTACTCTTGACATTTCTGCTATTGACGCTAAAGGTTTAGATACACTTCCAGTGTTCATTTTAACATTTACTACCCATGTGAAATAAGTCACATAATTCAACCCCGTTTGACACCCATTTTAGAGAAAAATTAAATTCTGGAATAATGATTGATGGAAGAATGTGTGGTTAAAAAGTAATGAGAATTTTTGAATTTATGTGCAGTATTATTTTATTGATAAAATGTGTGGTTAAAATGAAGAAAGAGAAAAAAATATAAGAATGAGAATGGGAAAAAATGGATGTCAAACAAGGGCTAAGTGATTCAGGTGCNATGAGATGGGTGTCAAACAGGGGCTCAATTTGTCCTTAGAGAGTAATATTTGGAATGACCCTTTATTTTTAGTTTTTAGCTGTTAATGTCGCATGACAAGATTCACCTCCTCCTCTTTGCCCCACCACAACACCTTTTACTTCAATATGGCCTATATGTGGCTTATTAGATCATTTAAGTATTCCATGAGAACTAGAAACAGTTCTAAATGCAGGTAGAGTTGTTCAAGCACCCTCATCTTTTAGTGCTGCAAATAAACAACTCCATCTATAAACTTCCGGGTGGCCGTGCACGATTTGGTGAATCAGGTAAGTAATTATCTTTGAAGTCCCTCTGCTAACTGTCCAAGAGAGATCCTAATGGCTGGAAATGATCATGGAAGCTAAAAAAAATGTATCTGTCTTACTCTGCAGATACTGACTGCTTGAAACGCAAGCTACTGAGCAAGTTATGTGTGGGTGAAGAAAGTCGTGGACCTGAATGGGAGGTAAATGCGCACTCCGCTTGACATTATGATTGTTTAGTTGCAATTTGTTTACACGTGATGTTTCTTGATATCTAGATTGGCGAATGTCTTGGAATGTGGTGGAGATCAGATTTTGAAACGTTGCTTTATCCATATTTGCCTCCAAACATAAAAAGGCCTAAGGTAGTTCTAATGGCAGTGGAACTCATTGCCTCTTTCCCCGTTTTCCTGTTCTGCTTGCTCCTCTAATCCAAGCTGCGGCTGCACGAGTCTGCTTGGAGGGAACGGATGGGACTTTTTCCAACTGAACTAGAATAAAGGAGGGCTGGGCCTTTTAGTATTATAGCTATTTTACTTTTGATAGCTGGAAATAGTTCCTAACTACCTACTGCTTGTATTTGTAGGAGTGCTCAAAACTCTATCTCATCAAGCTACCAGCAAGTCGGAGATTCATTGTACCGAAGAACTTCAAACTTCTTGCAGTTCCATTGTGCCAAGTTCATGACAATGAGAAGGTAGGTCTTCGTGGAAACATTTTTGATGATTTTAAACCCATTGGTAATCGATATTGCTCCATTTTAGTGACTCTATTGAGAATTAATTGCTTACAAACAATAACCACCCTGCATTCCATTGTGCTTCTTTTTTAACTTGGTTTACTTGATGCTGGTAGAATTCACAAATATACTGGGGTCTCTATGCCTGCCAACTTTTTTCCTCAAAATGCAACCAAATAACTTCTTTGGAAGCAGAAGCAGGGCCGGCCCTGGGGCCTTATGCAAACTTCAAATATAGGGCCCCTATGAATATTAAGCTCTTGTTTGATGAAATTAAAATCGGGTTTGTTGTATGTTTTGATAAAAGTTGATGGAATATGTGGTTAAAAAGTTATGGATCCATGAAATGTATGATTAAAATTAATGATTTGACTTTGATTTAGAAATAATTAAATACAATTAAACATATCCAGGAAATTTGGAAGTCAAAATACAAGATTTACACTGCAGAGGAAAAAAAAAGAAAAATAAGTTAATCAATACAATGGCATTGAAAACTTAAGACAAAATGACAAATAAAATGAAATGCAAGAATCTAGAGAGCAATGAATACCAGTGTCTTTAGTAGCAGTTCCTTGAATAAGAGTAAGACCCACCATGAGAGCATTAGAAAATGTAATGACCTTAAATTTTGAAGTAAGAAAAGTTACATTTTGTTTCTTGTTGAGAGAGAAGAAAAATGATGGTTGAGAAGATAAAATTGTCAAATTAATTATATATAGAGAAAGTAATGGCCGTGATGTATTTATGTGATATATAAATATATGTGATAAGTTTTATGTCATATATCTGATTTTTTTAGAGATGTTTGTATTTTCAAATTTTATTACTTTATTGTGTTTGCGTATGATAATTTTAATTTAAAGAATTTCGTAATTATAATTTTCGTTTTTTTTTTCAACCAATCAATTAACCTTTCATAATTTGGGGCCTTCATTAGAGTGGGGTTTTAGGCGATCGCCTACGCCGGCTTTGTTTGGAAGGGTCGACTGTGAAAAATATTAAAGATCTTAGACGTGTTTTCCAGTTTACTGCTTACAAACCTGCCCTAAAAGTTTCCTGGAAACTTATATTACTTGGAATGTGTGAATATTATTAAGTGAGCTTACCATGTTCAATTGCTTGTTTTGTAGACTTATGGACCAGTTATTTCAGGAATTCCACAGCTACTATCCAGATTCTCCTTCAACATTGTAGAACCCTGAAATATTCCACTCCTTTTTACTTGGCTATGGTAAGCATAGGTGAAAATAGTGTTTTAAGTTTTGATAGGTTCAAAACAAAGAGCATTAGATACCAATGAGAGTGGATTGATGTAAGAATCAAAGTTCTATATAGATCAATACGACTTTGATGTATTTGTACTAAAAAATGGATGTACAAAGTTATATTTTCTGAGGGAGAAAATTTCTCTATTTTCTTCCATAATGTAAATTTCTCGTTCTAGTTCGGATTTCGTTTATCGACATACATTTTTCAATCTATAAGTAAATGTTGAATTGTTAAGACAATGCTGAACTTGATTTCAGTGTCTAACTGCATTGAACTTGTTGGAGATTCATTATATACTACAAAAATTTTCTATTGTACTTTTTGTGATCCGTTGGATAGAAAACAAATTTGTTTTGTCGCATGGGTGCTCAGGTGGAAAACTTAGCAATCTTTAAATCTGGGATCAAACTGGATTGCAGATTGGCGTATCCTGTATAAACTTTCAGGTAATACTAAAATCTTGTTTATTATATTGTTTTGTTTTATACTACGTACGTAACAGGATATTGATTTCTTTTAACCAGTCTTAACATTTCGCATGCGCCCGACGACTGGGTTGCAATATTCAAACGGGTGGTGGTCCATGACGTGATGCAAGGCTGGCCATTAATCGCCGACATTATTGGTCGAGGAAACAAGACAAATTTGGAAAAATATACATTGTGGGTCTATGGGTTACTATTATGTTATGTGGCTATCAGCTACAGTCATTTTCAAATGCAAATTCGTGTCCTCTTCAATATCACGAGGTTTTACTCAATAATTACAACTTTTCGTTCGGGATTTAAACATTAGAAAAGTTACGATTGTTATTTATCTAGGACGATCAATCTACATCTTTCCCATAGCAATGGGGGTCATGTCTCAATCTCCTTTCTATGGAATCTAATAGACTAGTTCCTATCGAGATTCTTCCAGGTTTAATTTCACGCTTACGATGAGGGTGGAGTCAGCGTGACACTTGAATGCCTACTTCCATAGCTTTGGTGGGTGTGATTTGCCCTCACTGGTGATTTTCTAATTTGGCACCTTTCATAGCTAATAAATTGACTATGAGGATATCGTTATTGGAATTAACTTTGTGGATGAGCATATTTGGGCGGACGCGTGTCATTTTCTATATTCATGGAGGGGTCATGTTGAAGTTGCTGGATCTGTACTTGTTGCGGACGGTGCAAATGAGTGCTCGATTTAGGATAGTCCTCTCGTTGATGTTGAGATCTGCTGTCCAATTTTTGTTATCTATCCAATTAATTATCGACGCATTATTTTTAAATAACATAGCTTAAATTTATCCTTGTTAATTTTATAATTAACTCATCAAATTGATGACATTTTAATTTAAAATAACGTGTCAATAGTTAATTGAATGGATAACAAATTGGACAGCAAAAATTGAACGATAGATCGCATCTGCTCTTGTTGCCACCTATGTGCCGAGCTAAGGAGCTGACTGTGAAGTTGGAATTGTCGGCTCATTAACTCGGCTCCATTTAGTTTATTTATTCCGCATAAATATTTTAATTAAAATATTCTTGAACCATGAAACAAAAGTAAAGCAAAGTCATAGCCCATTGTTTTTGCTAATTAATTAAACTTGCTTAAAGATAAAGAGTTAGATTAAACCAATTTTGACAAAGTTAAGTTTGACCTAAAAGAGAGGCCTTGACTTGTAGACAAAGAATAAAATAAATTTAAGAAAAATGGTTATTATCTTAAATAGATTCACATTAATCTTTTCCGAAAGGTCCGAAGTCACCTACCACTAATCTTCGACTTGGAGAGGTTTATTGCACAAAAACGTCGGAATGATTTTCACCAAAAACCCAAAAAGTGATTATGTTGAAGTATTATTCTCATAAAACACATTTAAAAAATAGAAAAAAAGTAAGGGAAAGTAAGCCCCCGTTTGATGTTCATTAAAATGGAAAGAATGCATTTTTTTGGTGACGTGACGATGAATATGTGATTGAAAATGAGTAAAAGAATGAAAATGAAAATTAGAATGTGACTCAGTGGGACTAAAATAGATGAACGAGAAATTGAATGGTTCGTGTGCAACGGGTTGGGTGAGGGTACTTTTCTTGCATTCAATCGATTGTCGTCTAAAAAAAAAAAAAAAATTGACATTATTTTAAAAATGTACTAATGTGTTGCTATTTGTTGACAAAAATTGGCTAACAATAAAATTGGCAAACATTGAATGTAAGGAAAGTAATAGAAAAGTAAACAAGGCTTGAAGTAAAGGCAGTGTCTCAGCAATTTCATTCATTTGTGTTTTCTTTTTCTTCCAATCATCGTACGTATTCTTCATTACCTGTCTACTACAACTCCTTTTCTATCACCAACCATTTCTTTAATCAATCAATCACTCTCTCTCTTTCTCTCTCTCTCTCACACACACACACTCACGCAATTTGGGAATTGGGATTCCTATCGTATACCTAACCTGAATTGTTATCTGTTTTTAATTTTCTTCGTTTATGGTGTAAGATTCTTTACGAGGAACGACTATTTTGGTGATTTCGCCATAGCCCAGAAGAAGAAGAGATTTGCAGTTGCGATAGAGCAAAGAGCTCTCAGAAAGCAAAGAACAGAAGAAAACTATGAATAAAGGAGCTCTTGCACCTAAACTCAAGCTCTCTCTTCCTCCTACTGATGAAGCTTCTCTCTCTAAATTTCTGTAATTCATCCCACCATTTTTTGAATTGAAGTGTATTGTGGATATTTTTTATATGTTTTTTTTTTTTGTGATTTTATGTAGAACTGAATCAGGGACATTTAAGGATGGTGATCTGCTGGTTAACAGAGACGGAGTTCGTATTGTTTCGCAGAATGAAGTTGACGCTGTATGATTATTTTCTTTTTCGATTTCTTGAATTTGACCTCAAGATATCTTTTTTCTTTATTTTTTCGCGTTTTTCTGTTAGCGGAATTCATTAATTTGATGTGGGTTTTGTTATTTGTTTTTCCTTAATTTGACATTGGATGAATTAAAATTGTTCCTGTATGTTGTGGATTTCATTTTTGGTTCTTCGTCACTTGAATGTATTTTCATATGTGGTTTCTAAGCGAACAGATCATACTTGGAGTTATGATTATGGGAGTGATTTTAGTTTTCACTTTGATGATTTTGTGGACGAATTATATTTGATGTATCAATTTAGGCAAGATCTACTTATAATTATAGAGTTATCATAATTTTCAAAAGAGTAGACAATTTAAGTGCCGATATTAGTTGTTTTAAGTGAGTCTTCATTATTAGTTAATTTCTCATCTGTCTTTGTATTGATTGATTATATGGATTATACACCTGTCCGCAGACAAACACATTTGCTAAACGATTCTATGGAGTATATTCTGTCATAATACTCTCTATTGAAATTCTTTAATGTGAATACTATAATTTTGCATCCTTTTTTATTATGTTCATGGAAACTACATAAAGATTACATTTCATTTGTTTTTCTCGGTCTTTTCTTTCAGCCAGCGCTTATACAGCCATCAGATAACCAGTTGAGCTTAGCCGACTTTGACGCAGTTCAAGTTATCGGTAAGGGCAACGGTGGAATAGTGCGGTTGGTGCAACATAAATGGACTGGGCAATTTTTTGCTCTGAAGGTACTTGGAAATTGAAACACTTAAATCTATCTGGGATTTTCTTTTCCATTTTTGTTTAAATTTTGTAGAAAACCACTTTGATTTGCTAAGGGGATTGGCATGGGCCGCTATCCCTTGATTGATGCTTAGATAAATTTATAGGATGGAGGGGACTAAATCTTGTCATCTAATGGTGAAATTAAAAACTAGTTTGAAGTGCCGATCTTATCCTATCTGAATAAATGAGCCTCCTAAAGTTAGCAAAGTTGAAAGGAAAAATAATTCTATCTTGAGCTTGAGAACAAGCACAGTTGGCTAAAAGAAGGCTGTGGGATTGACTTTTCTGTTCAAGTGTCGATTTTGAATATTATGCTGGTGAATAGGTATCTTAGTCTTTTATTAATGAAGTGTAGATCTTATAAGAAATTTTGCTGCATTCCAATAGAATTTTTTAGTCACTTCCAAGGTAAAATCGTATGCATATTCCTGAAGAACATCATAAACAATTGCTTAAGCTTGAGCGAAATTCATGCTGCCAAAGAATAGAGCATAATAATACGTGTGTTTCTCTGTAGTAACTCCCTCACCTGAAGCATCAGAATTACCTCTAACGTAAGCTTTAGGGAAATTGTAGCCGTCATGCTCAATTTTTACCTCCTTTCACACTTTAGTCCCTGGCCTTTATTTCTTGATAACGTTGTCTCCCATTTTTTGTGCCCATTGTCCTTGTGACAGAAAGTGTCTTTTAAAGGGGTCACCATTTGAATTACGTGGATTGTCATATTATCAATGGTCCTCTCAACTGTAAGAGTTATATACGACAAGTTTCCCACGTGAACTTTTCTCTCCTCCACTCTAACTGTTACTAATTTCCAGATAATATATTTCCTATTAAATCTATTATACTTGTCTTCATTATATAAGAACGAAACAAATAGTTATTACATGTTCAATACTTTATTGTGGTTACAATGAAACTTTATGCCATAGGGATGGATGGCATTGGTTGGGAAAAAATGAAAATTCAAACAAGCAAATATTGCTTAACTGAATATTTTGATGCTACTCCGTGTTGTCAGTTTTACAAAATCCAAAAAAATTAGAACATGTTTTTAGAGAGAGGAATGTTTGTAAAACTGCATTTCAAATTCTTAAAACAATTTACCTCTCAAACTTGAGGTTTCTGTGAGTTATTGCATTTAGTTGTTTGATCAACCTTCATTTGGACTGGACTGAAAGATTGGTAATTATTACTAGAAATTTACCTGCTTGCTTTAATGTAAATTTTCAGCAGCTGATAATGTGGAGTTGACGTCTTTAGGTCATTTAACATTTGTTTCCTTTTTTATGCATTAATTCAGGTTATTCAAATGAATATTGAAGAGTCTGCTCGCAAGCATATTGCACAAGAACTGAAAATTAATCAGTCATCCCAATGTCCATATGTTGTGGTTTGCTATCAATCTTTCTATGATAATGGTGCGGTCTCCATAATCTTGGAGTACATGGATGGTGGATCCCTTGCAGATTTTTTGAAGAAGGTCCATAAAATTCCAGAACCATGTCTTGCTGCAATCTGTAAGCAGGTAGGAAAATGCAGTTCGTTTTTCCGCCGGAGATTTACTGAAGTTACTAATCAACGTCTTACTCTCGACTAGGTACTCAAGGGCTTATGGTATCTTCACCATGAAAAACATATTATCCACAGGGATTTGAAACCTTCGAATTTGCTGATAAACCACAGAGGTGAAGTCAAGATCACCGACTTTGGTGTGAGTGCGATACTGGCAAGCACATCTGGTCTGGCCAATACCTTTGTTGGCACATACAACTATATGTCTGTGAGTGTTAATAAACTTTGTAAATATTATTACCGTGTTACCTTGAAGTAATATGGTTCCTTTGTCTGCTGCAAACATGTTTATCAACCTTTTTCTTCCACTATTTTGGTTCATGAAAATGCGTCTATTTGTGGAAGTTCGTTAAATTTCTGTTATTCAATTGCATGGTGCTAGCCAGAGAGAATCAGTGGAGGCAACTATGGTTACAGAAGTGACATATGGAGCTTGGGTTTAGTTTTCCTCGAGTGTGCAACTGGTCAATTCCCATACTCCCCACCACAGCAAGGGGGATGGGTTAATGTCTATGAGCTGATGGAGGCAATTGTTGACCAACCTGCACCACGTGCTCCTGATGATCTATTTTCTCCAGAGTTCTGTTCATTTATTTCTGCATGGTAAAGATTGCACTTCATCTACATTTCTATAAATTAAGTTGCTTGTGTGCTGGATTATTTCCATACAAGTCAGCACAATATTAATGATACATCATATTAGTGGAGAAATCTTGTTACAATAGTATGCACACACAGTTACTTCTAGAACATTGCATGAAATTTTAAATAAATAAAATTGTCCTTTCTATGACAATTTAAGATTAAGATGTAACATAGCATCAAAGCAATCAAAAGTCTTTGAGTTCATCAAGTCTCGTTACCACCCATTTTTTGGGCCTTTAATGAGAAAATGAATCTGGTCTGCACTTAAGGGAGTGTGATAAAAAATTAAAATAGATGAATGTCCCCACTGACCCTAAGGCATAACGGTGGTGCTTCCCTTCAGGTAATTTTAATATTTTTATTGAATTCAACTCTGAGATTATATCATTTGTTGAATTCTGCAACCTTGTAGGTTGACAAGTCATAAATCTTCTTGCTTTTATGCATATTTGTTATTTTTAGTGTGTTGCACCTATGAGATCTTATAAATTTACTTGTCTCAGTGTGCAGAAAGAACCAAAGGATAGACTGTCAGCAAACGAACTAATGGTAATGATTCTTCTCCTCTGTTAACTTGAAGTTTGTATCGGTTGGACATATAGTTATTAAAAGGATGTATCTTTATCAAATGCAGGTGCACCCTTTCATCACAAAGTATGAAAATCTTGATATTGATCTTGCTTCGTACTTCAACAGTGCATCAACCTCACCTGCCATGAGTTGAGGAATGTTTGGTATGTGTATTGCTAAGATATATAGTATATTCCTTGTGAATCCAATCATAAAATCTCCCTTTTGAGCTTATGTTGAATGAAATTCAGTTAAGCACAAGTTTATGAAAAAAAAGCTACTACATTCATTAAGGATCTTGTTGCTTTATATCTTTGTACAGGACTATCGAAGGGAGTAGGGAAAATAATTTATGTAGTCAACTCCAACTTTATGGACAAGGCTTAATTTTTCTTTCATTTGTTGTACATGCCATGGCTTAATAAAATTATGATCTAATCTAAAGATGTGGCCTCTATAATGGGAAATGGGAATGCATGGATTGAATTACTTTTATAGCACTGGCCAGATTCTTCAATTGTGATTCTTTGAATATTATAATCATTATATTTACTGTTTTTGCTTGAATGAACAGATTGAGTGAGCTGTTAAACTAATAAAAGGGGATTGCCAACTGCTATTTTTCAGTCTTTTCTGGTGCTAAGAGATGAGCCATCATGTGACAAACATTCCTACATTGCAATTTGAGGCCAATGTTTATCTTCTCAGTACTTCTTCTAAGAACATTGCTGCAGCAGAGAATATATCTATTAGAAAGATTTTTATGCAACAAGAACTGCAATTTCAGAGATCAAATGTAGGAAATTGTATACTCAAAACATTTAAATATGTAAGATGTACTTGTTGAATTCTACCTTTTTTAGGAAGAGAGTTGTCTATGAATCTTTTGGTCCTGCTACATGTTCTCGAGTTTGTGCAGAGTTCTTTACAGTTACAGAGTGTGATTTTATGACTATGAAAATATCGATGGATGTGTTGCTATATATCCCCCGGGTTGATGGTACATCAAACGAGGTACAATATTGATGACTTCATACAATGCTATTGTTTTCGCTTCCTACTTGCTTGTCGAACATACTTCCACAATTCCAGTATGTGGAAGCAACTATCTTTGACAGTAATGTGCTGTCATTAAGACGAAGGCTTGCTTAATTTGATCGTTAATATAAATAATGCAAGGCCAAGGAAATAGGTTAAAAACACTTAACTTGTCCGAAATTTGATGCGGACGACTGAACTTCATTTCGTTCCAATTGAGTCACTTTTTAACTTTTGTAGTTGCTAAAGTCCATTTGTTGTTATATCCAAGCAAATCTCATGATGTGATCTCATCTCGAATAACAAATCATGAGATCGAAATCAATGACCAGCCAGTGAAGTGCTTGATCTTCACAAAAAATTAAAAATGACAGTACAATTGAAACTGCCGTCGAAAAGAAAGAAAGCAAAGATTTTCCTGATAGTATTGTGATATATATTGATATACAGAACCAATTATGATATTTGATGCTTGTACCGGGAATACTGCGTTGAGCAACTAGATGAAGAGAAACATCCATGGCATTCTGAATGGGAAGATGAACTGCACAAAACTTCTGAATGTTTTAAATCCCCTACTAATGAGGATGGTTTTCGAAAACTCGAGCATTCAAAAATTCATGGAAGCCACAGCAAAAGCAGACAATTCGATTTGCAACCTGAAAATACCTTTGCTCAGTACAAAATGCTCAAGAAAATTGTCACCTCCCAAGAAGTGATTTTTTATCAAAAGATTTCCACCATCGATAGCACAATTTCAGAATTGTAACAAGGATTGAAATCTTGGACCACTAACTTCTCCGAATAACTGCTATAGTCACTATGACTTGCATTTATCACAAATCGGTTCTGCAATGGCTACTGCTTTTGATGTTCCACCTGGAACTTTGGTGCAAGAAATTTTTATCTTCTAATAATGTCTTGTATGCTCCAGTCTCTTCGCAAACGGAGAAAGCTTTCCTCATAACAGGGCATTTGGAGCATAAAACATTTCGAAGTTTTGTGTGGCTCATCTTCCTATTCCAATGTCCGCTTCCTGCCTTGTTGGAAAGTCATCTTTCTTGAAAGGATACGAGACATAATAGTCGTCGATGCTTATCCATTAGATTGCGTGACAATCCCTTTTCAGCACTAGAGTTCTATGAAGAGCACAGAGTAGAGGCTAAGACATATAAAGAATGGAAAGCTTCAGTGTGGTGTATGGAGGGTCCATCGTCGTTGGATTTTGGGTGTTCTGAGAAAAAATGGATGGCTAAGGGTCATATTTGGTCCACACCGTGAAACTTGATCTCTTAACTGCTGCCAGGATAAAAAGGGAACAGAGATAAAAGCCAATATTGTGAAACTTTTTCTTTAGACTAGGGTCAAAATCATCTGGCGTATTGAAGGATACCGAGTAGGGCTGGACAAAAC